ATATGCTTCAATATTACTCTTTTAAAGCGGAAAGTATAGCGAAACAACAAAAATGCCGAGAACTTTGCAATACGCGTGACGTCACAGATTGCAACTAGGTTGTTTTTGCTTACGTCAGCTAGAGTCCTATCCATTTATTTTATTATCGGCAAAATCTCGTATTGCTATCTCAAAGAATAATGGCTATTGTGTTGTAGACAGCAGAAAGAACAGACGCTTTTTCCAAGATATGTCTTTTAGTATCGCGTCTCACGTCTGTGATAGCTAGTTAGATAAAGCACGTACGGCAAATTATCTTACTGCCATCATAAAAGATATTGTAGGCTACAGAAAGAGCAGACGTTTTCTCATCGGTATATGGAGGCTGTCTTATATCCTGACGCCTGTCATACATCGTTTGTTAGTCGCGTCAGGTTCGGCAAATTATTGCCATACGTATTACGTACTTATCCCAATATCAGAATGTTGTGGTCTGGTTGTTATGACCATCATGGAATATTCTTTCAAACTATGTAAAACGTTGTTCACTGCAATTACAGTAATACCAAGTTGACTATAGAATCAAACGTTGTAAAACATCAATGCTGAGCTAATGGGCAACCTCGTACCCAGGGCTTTTGCCACATGGGTACGAGGCAGAAGTCCTGGGTACGAGGTCGAGCAAATGGACAAAGTTTGCTAGGTACTATTAACTTTTACCCTAATCCTAGGGTGGAGTTTGGGAATGGGGAGGAATATGGAAATTTTTGTTCGCTACTCAATTTTTTTCGAAACATGTGGAATACGGAATTTTCAGTTTTCACAATTTAATATGGAATTTAATCGTATTTTTCTAACGTGAATTTTTGCTAAAAATTATCCTTGAGAATTTTAAACCCCAAAATGTCTCCGGACCATTTCCCTACTATGCGGCTAATCCTTGTGACGTCATGTCGAGGTGCAGTCGAGCCTTTGCGATGCTATCACAGTGGGAAATGGTCTTTTAACCTTGGACGTGATATAAAAACGAAGATTTAAACCGCATAGCACACAGTCACAGTATGGGGTATTCATGCAGTATGATACATGATACATTTGCATACGACAAAATACCCTGAAATATCACTCGATTTTCTTTTAACACAACACCAAATTTGAAGTGTCACCTAGCCGCAACACCATAATTAATAAACTTTAAAGAAATTCAATTTTATTTCCGAACTATTCTCAATATAAGCAGCAGATTATCGTGATTTAACGTCATTTAACGTCTACAGGTATTGATCAACTGTGATAATTATGGTTAACGACAGGACACCAAATTTTGTTTTTATGTGTATTATTTGGCGGAAAAAATACAAATTTGGCATACTAACTGACTTATATTAATCTTAAATACATGTTTTGCTGTAAATTTCCAGAGGAAAACATGTGAAAAATTGTTGAGTTTGTATTATTGAAAAGACATGAAAGTCCGTGTGTGTCCTTTTGTAAGTATGCATTGTTTATCAATATCTCAGTACGAGTCGTTCAAATTATTAATTGTATATCTGCAGCATCGCCGCAGCACATGACAGTGATTATCCATTGGTCAAGCAGGAGAACAGCAAGGAAAATTTGATCTTTGTTCTTATTTTAAAGTAAGTTGTATATATATATATATTCTTATGCTTTCTTAACATAAAACCAGTTTATTTTAAGATTGAGATTTGTCATTAATCAAATTATCTTTTTTGGCATCTTCTTGCCTTTTTTCTTATATCCTCTCGAGTCTCGGTACAAATTCTTATCATAGTACAAAAAGCACATGGAAAGTGTGCGTACACCCTGTATGACTGTGCAAAATTCAGTTATCTTGTAGAGTGCTTACAGGAGTAGCCTGGCTCTGAGTATATAGTTTATGACTAATGTTCTAGAAATGCAGTATGCTCACGCAGAAGTACAATTACACAAGAGAAAGCAACACGCAGACTAAATTAACATGTATTAAAATTAGCTTGGTTGCAAGTTGCAGCAATTTTGTTGCTTGTGTTACCCACCTCTAAGACTAAACTTTAAATATATTATATGCAGACAGCATAGATTCGACTACTATAGTACTAGATTGAAATTGATACTGGCAAATTTTTAATACCTGTCCTGAGAATAACACTCATGCCATTCAAGGAAGCACTCTTAATACCAATCGAAAATATAAAAATAAATTGATTTTTTATATATACCAGAATATTAATACCAATACAATCTTAAAATATTTGATATTGAGTGCATATTCTTATAACCTTTCTATACAAACTGCGTCATAATTACGCAATTTTCCGTAATATATCGTAATATCGGTTGAAATCAGCCTCTGTTCTAAGACTAAGTTGCAGCAATTTTATCACTCGTATTATTTACCTTTTATAGTCACTTAATAGCTATTTTACACAACGCCATATATCGTTACTGAATGGCACAACGCTAGGTAGGATGGACACGCGAATACGGAACATGAATAATTTTTGGAATTTAATAACAATTACTAGATTGTTACGAATATTGGTTTAAAAATAATTTGCTACAGTAAATAACCTTTCTTTAGAAATACTGAATGACAAACATTTTGGAACAACTATAGAATATTTATTTTAGGAGGAGAAGGGAGGAACAGACCACTTTTTTATGTCACTGAGATATTTAATTTACCAGAGCTGCCATAAACAAAGGTGAAATAAACTGTCACTGCATGCAAGTGCATTATACCATTATTTCAACCAAAATAGATCGGTGCGTTTCCGCAATTTAGTCTTTAGATTCACGTGATTGGATAATATAAACACGCATGCATGTTTTGTGGTAGTCGTAATTAGAAATTTTCTGGCCATTGTACTGGCTGCATGTAACCAAAACAATTCCCGTGTTTGATTTTCTCCAACGTAACTACTAACTAACAGCCGTTTAATGCCATATATATCTATATACTTGCTTTTTATCCTTTTTTAATTTTAGAAAAGATGACAACTGTCAATGGCGTAGTAAATGGTGTCGGTAGGTTTTTCCCACATGCAATTATTAATGATAAATATAATATAGGGGCTTTCATGCATCCAGAAGGAGATCCTTATGCAGTAACCTAGCTGAGTTGTATATGATTAAATTGGCCGTGGTTGGAACGGACAGAAGATTTAGGGCCTTGATTTTATCATGAATTATAAAAACGCCTGATTTTACCGAAATAATAATACCCGATTGACAGCGAAGAAACTAGCCCTAGGAGCTATATTCGTCTTTATTTATCCGTTATGTGTAACTCGATCCGGTATAGACTTGCTCCAAGTTTGCCTCTCAAAGAGGTTTTATCCAAATAAGGCAAAATTAAAACCGTTTGAGGCAGACTTGGTCTTGGAGCAAGTCTACGTGATCTGTTGTTAAAACTGACCTGTATTACAATACTTCTAGATTTTGGGGATGATCTCGAAATTCCAAAACGAAACGATGTTTATTTGAAGAACGATCAAAAGCTGGAGAATTTTTATGAAATTCAAGAAAAGTTGGGAGAGTAGGTTAAAGTTTCGTGGACAGAAGCAGTGCTGATAAATGCTTGATGCATGAAAATATTGACAATATATACAGACGTTTCCTGATTTGTCTGTATCACTCGACCATATAATACACGAGCTAGCCAATTTTACCTCCTCTTTGAGATTTCACTATATAAACAAACGAATATAAATAAATGAGTAATAGAAATAAACGAATTCGAATTCATGATATATGGGAACTTGATTCATGAACTGCCTGGGAACGAGGTTGCCAGTATGTAAAGAGAAATTTTACCAAGGAATTTGACTTTTACCGCAACCTCTCGCAGGCTTAAATTAATTTGGATTTGATTGAGTCAAAATCTGAACCTCTCTATTATTGCAGAGTATACGGACCGTTTTACGATGCTGATTTCCTTTGTGTTTTACTTGTCAACCAGTGACTATGAGGAAAATCATCATTTAAATCTAAATGAGATGTTTTGTTTCCACTAAATCCAGCTCAAAGAGAAAGGAATACCTTTGTCGGTGTACTAAATCAGTTCAACTCCTTGAACACGGCACCAATATACGACCTAAATCTCTTGCAGGGGTAAATTTGGCACAGTTTGTAAAGCAAAAGAAAAGAGTACAGGAAGTATATTTGCAGCCAAATATATCAAGATTACTCCAGCGTCAAGAAAAGAGGTCACAGAAGAAATAAATATGATGAATAAAATACATCATAAAAGATTAGTTTATCTTTACGATGCTTATGAAACACCCAAGGATCTTATTATGGTTATGGAGCTGTAAGTAGTTATTTTCAACCGTTTTTCCTAGCCTCCTCCGCAGGCCTCTCTATGGGTTTTAGCCTGCGAATGGGTTTTTCCCACCACCCGATTCCTCGAGTGAGATGCCTGCGGAGGAGGCTAGGTTTTTCCATACTGAACCACGGTCATCATAGATAACCTGCCTACATTTTGCCACTTCTACATTTTCCCAATCCAATATAAAGGCAATATTGAAGTAGGAAAACGGCAACGTGTCTAACACTTTCAGGATTAAATTTTGTCGACAGTTAATAACGAGAAAACTTGTCAGAAGTGTCTTATATGTGCTTTTAGTTCGTGGGTTCGTAGCATGATCGTGCGGTGTGCAATAACTATATTTCCATCAATTCAATAATTTTACTGACAAGGTGCGAGTCAAAATTTGTATAGCAACTTGACAAAATAAGAACATTGTTACAATTCGTGGTCAAGAATGTTACAAGAATGTTTGGAACACATCAGTATCTTCACGTCTTTCTGAGAATTGATCTGCTTAATTAAATTAATAAAGTGCTTATGAAACGAAATTTTTGCCTCATTTTTTATTGTTTTATTAAAAGGTACTGCTGGAATGATGAAGAATGACGTTTACAGTTTATTCGTATCTCATCTAATTCCCAAGTTATCGCACTTTCTACATTTTGAGTTGTGACGTCACAAGTATGACTTGAGATAATGGCAATAACAAGAAAGTCTGATATCGTGGTGACCGTTTAATAAAATTCAATGAAACTTGGCACAGTTAGTGTGTGCAACGAAGTCAATAATTTGGCTTGTTTATATGGTTGTTATGCAACACACTCGTCCCCAGTCCCTTCTCTTCCAATTTGTATATGATCCATTTCCAAGGAAATAAATAGCAATTTCTGCAATTTTCGCTTGTTACTATAATACGTGTAGGTATTATGATCAGTTTAAACCGTTATAACATGCAAACATCCTCTGCAAGAGGTCAACAGGAGAAAATTTGTGAAAAGGAAGAGAAGAGACTGGGGACTAGTGTGTTGCCATGACAATCACATGACCTGCCGAAAATATTCATATGGGTGACCCACTAAGTGTACCAAGTTGCATTGAATTTTATTAAATAGTCACCAAGATATCAGACTTTCTTGTTATTGCCTTACTGCAACAATGAAATGTTGTTCTTAATTGAACTAGTTATTTTGGCAATTATTCAATGTAGTATACTTCATTTTATCCGATGTAGAGTTGGGTTTTTCGCCATTTTCGTTTTATTTTATCGACGGATACAGAACCTATATATATTCTCGCATTTATTCTGTTTGACAATTTTGTCATTTTGTTTTACCAAATTTCGAAATTTTTCTCTCCACTTCGGATAAAAAGGATTATACTATATTCTTGTTTGATATCTAAATTATAAGTTGTGAAGTTTTGTATAATGATGTTTTGTAACAGGTCACTAACGTAATTGGCTCACGCTGTGTTAGTGTTCCTGAACCGTCTTCCTGTTTGCATATGTATATTTCTGTTGACGGCTGAAGTTAATAAATCTAAATCTAAATAAATCTAAATCTAAATAAATCTAAATCTAAATAAATCTAAATCTAAATAAATCTAAATCATTGCCATTATCTCCAGTCATACTTGTGACGTCACAACTCAAAATATAGAAAGTGCAATAACTTGAGAATGAGATGAGATATGAAGAAACTGTAAACGTCATTCTTCATCATTCCAGCAGTATTTTTTAGAATAACAATAAAAAATAAGTTAAAAATTTCGTTTCATAAACAGTTTTAACAACTCTGCATAAATTCACAGAATGATTAACACTTTACAGGATTATTGAATATTTAATCGATCAGTCCGCATCGATAAATGAATAATTCAACCAACTAATCCAATAATCAGCCCATTAAATGAAATGGACTAACAATGTTTTAACAATCATGAGACTAATACGAACAAACCAGTTAACATTTAATTGCTGATCTCGTTGATTCGTTTCCTAGAGTGTCTGGTGGTGAATTATTTCAGAAGATTGTTGATGAAGATAATTTAAATGAAGCCGATGCTGCTAGATATATCATTCAAGTTTTACAGGGAGTCCGTCACATGCATCGTAAAAATATTGTTCATTTAGATTTGAAGGTATGTGAACGTGAAAATCTCATGCTCAATTTTAGTATTGTTAATCCAGTGTAGACAAATGGGGAAAATGTTTAATCTGAATTAGGAAATTTATAAAATGTTTTAATGGACACTAATGGGCATTGAAATTTTGAGATGATACAAAATCCTGGCAGTATTGAATTTATAATCATTCAAACAAATAAAAACTTCTAAAGAGTAAGTATTTCAAAGCGAGCCTCATTCTCATGATTTGTGAGCCAGACTTTCGATAATTACGTGGCGGTTCAGTTCGGGTGTATTGACATTGTACTTCAGTTCGGGTGTATTGACAATTACCTTGTCAATGACGTCATCGTTTATACATTCATACAAACATTACTACCTCGAAAGCGGAAAAAACATTGTAAACGTGTACAATAGCTTACAAATCATTAATGTTTCTTTTCAAAGTCCTTTCAATGGATTCACATGCATGTATGTTTTTAAAAACTACACGACAATTAGTATCACTGGTTATATTTAAAAAAACAATCTATAAAGAAATGCTCACCCCTGCACTCCGTATCATAAATTACACCAGAACTTCTTGATTTCGAAAAGGTTTCCGGTTTGCGGTGCCCAAACGAAGTTTGGTATCGCTTTATATTTGATGCCTAAGTTTCTTAGTCTGTTAGTTTGTTAGTCTGTTGAATAGTATGTCTTCGCACTTGAGGTGCACTTGCAAATTCAACTGTCCATCAGTTGTGGCGAGACAGCGGAGATATTACATGTATCATACCTGTGGTAATATAATGTAGATTGTTATATGATTGTGATCTAATAACTGCAGTTTTCACTTCCAGCCGGAAAATGTCATGTGTGTACCATGTCCAGGAAAAATGGATGATATCAAATTAATTGACTTTGGAATGTCAAGAGTTCTTGACCCTGATAAAGAATTGAAGGTCGCTTGTGGAACACCGGAATTTGTTGGTTCGTAAGTTAGTAAAAATATTCATAAATGATAGGAAATTGGCCAACTATGTGCTCTTGCGAACATCACATGATGATATAGCATAAGTAAATTTGATAGTTGCGCATTAATTGCTAATTAGGTTCAGGTGCGTGCGTCCCTGAGACAACATTAGAGACCTTACGATTTTAGGACGGCAACGCGACGACGACGGCCAAAACAAACTCCTTTAAATAAATGGTAGTAAAGATAATTCG